TACTCATAGTCGTGCATGCCGTAGTCGTTAGACCATTGACGTCGCATCCCAGCAAAGCCGGGCACGCTGGGTTCTCACCGGACCAGGCTCTCACGTCACCAAGGAGGAGGGGGTGGCTTGTTTTACAACGTCGTTGCCAAGCGACGAAAACCCAACTCCGATGGCAAACATCGACGGGCGGGTGTACTTATAGTTGTGCATGCCGTAGTCGTTAGACCATTGACCTCGCATCCCTACAAAAACGGGACGGAGCACGCCGGGTTCTCACCTGACCAGGCTTTCACATCACCAAGCGCGAAGCGCCGTGAGATATTCGGCGAGTCGCATGAAGGGTGCGCTGCATCCTGCTAAGGGTGTTCGGCATCTTGTGCTTACTTCCTTGCGTACGGATGACAGCTGCGTATGAATTAATTTATTTTTCCGGTACTTCACTTCCAGAGACAGTTATAAGCACTGTGTAACTGCCTCGAGGGTGCTTAACCATTTTCAACACACCGTGGTGTGATCATCCCCCTTGCGCGGAGTGAGGATTCTTCACGCCGCAGAACATGATCTACTCGACCACCGTTCATGGACACCACCAAAAAAGCAACAGGGGCGACAAACAAAACGGTAACCTGTTTGCCGAGTTCACGAGGTGAATTGGCTTGTTTTACAACGTCGTCGCCAAGCGACGAAAACCCAATCCCGATTGCAAACACCGCGGGGGGCGGCGGCTTGTTTTACAACGTTGTTGCCAATCGACGAAAACGCAACCCCGATGGTAAACACCGGGCGGCGCGGGGGGTTGCCTTGTTATACAACGTCGTTGCCAAGCGACGAAAACCCAACCCCGATGGCAAACACCGGGGGGGGGTGTACTCATAGTCGTGCATGCCGTAGTCGTTAGACCATTGACCTCGCATTCCTACAAAGCTGGGACGGACCACGCCGGGTTCTTGCCGGACCAGGCTTTCACATCACCAAGCGCGAAGCGCCGTGAGATATTCGGCGAGTCCGATGAAGGGTGCGCTGCATCGTGGTAGTGATGTTCGGCATCTTGTACTTACTTTCTTGCGTACGGATGACAGCTGCGTGAAATTTATAGTACTTCACTTCCAGAGACAGTTGTAAGCCTTAACTAACTGCCTCGAGGGTGTTAGACCGCTTCAACACAACGTGGTGCGATCATCCCCCTTGCGCGGAGTGAGGGTTGTTAGATATACTCGCAGCAGTCTCCAGACGTGAGGATCCTCGGGGATACGTGTTGGGAATTTCGTATGTTGATGGGTACCACCGATGCAGATACGGGGACCCTTTTGGCCTTGGTTGCGGTGTTGAAGGCTCGCGCATCTAGCGCACTGCTTTCGCTCTCTCCACCGCTACCGCCGTCTCTCTCCAATCAAGTTTCCTTCTCCAACGCTTTCTCCAACGCCAACGCCATCTCTATCTCTACCTCTCTCTCTCGGCCGAACACGGCCGACTACCCACTGCCCCAAGAGACGCCCAACACGGGGTTGCTGCACCCCGCGTAGTTTACCTTTCACACTAGTGTGAATCAGATTCAGATTCTGCGCGCGGTCGTAGTACACCGGGGGGTTGTGCATTCACGCGCAATCGGTAGACTCCCACAACAAAAACATCATGCCTACCTCGGAGGATTCCGAAATCGACCTCTCCACCCTCAGCAAAGAAGAGCTGCAACAAGAAGTTCAACGAAGGGTGGACGCCCAACTTGCGAAGGAGAGAGCAGAAATCGCCCCACTGCCAGCAGAACAGCAGTCACCTACCATCGGCGAGCAGTCGCTACGTCCCACACCAGCCGACATACCGCCCACCGGCAACCAGCCTTCACCCTCCAGCCAGGGATCCCAATCATTCAACAATCCCACCAACGTCGCCAACATCGTGGCGCAAGCGGTCAAGGCGACAGCCGAGGCCATGTCTGGACATCAGGGCTTTGCCCACACAGGCACGTTTCGTGTCAACCCCGGCTCTGACATAGACCCTTGGCTTGGAAGTGTGAAGAAAGAGCAGGATTTGTATATTATGTTTGATGTTTTTCGCAGTAAGATGGTGTCGTATTTTCAGGAAGAGGGTGTATATGATGTATTAGGGATCACTGATGTCAAGGTTGGCAAGAGGGGTGTGGATCTAGCAGAGCTAAGGGGCATCTTCGGGACTGATGTGGTGGACAAGTCGTTGAAGTTGTGGAATATTATCATCAGCAAGATTCTATACCCTCCGATCCAGAACTTGATCATGGCATGTGAGAGTCCCCAGCAGGGGTGGAAGATCGTCACGAATTTCTACCAAGAGAAGAAGGAGTCTGAGAAGACTAGGCTTGAGCAAGAGTGGTTGGCGTTAGAAATGCGTGAGTCGGAGAACCCACAGGATTACATAGCAAGGTCGGAAGCTCTTCGATTACGTCTTGCCTCAGTAGGAACTATCAAAGACACAACACATGCTTACAAGGACGTTGTGCGCGGCCTTCCCCCATCGTATGCCGTGCAAAAAGGAATATTGCTAGCAAGCGATGTCGTGACTTTGCATGCCCTTGAGACTGTGGTGAGGGACGCCCACATGGAGATGGAGCGCGAGAGGAGCAAGGAGCAGAGGCGAGAGGCGGAGCTCGCCCTCGTCGCGTCCGGTGCGAGCCGGAGCGGCGGGGGCAATGGGGGGGCATCCGGGGGACAAGGAGTAGTCGACGGTCAAGACCGTGAAATCCGTGATGGCGAGAGAAACCGTGACGTGTTCGTCGAAGATCCCACCGGTTTTTGCCGCTACCACCAGTCCGAACTACACACGAACGGGCAATGCCGTTACCAGCAGCATCTGCGGCGGACTCGCACGAGAGCAGCCGCCGAGGATCGCCACGGAGGTGGCGGCGGAGGCCGTGGCGGCGGCTGGAGCCAGCGAGGAGGAAGACCGCCGTCGGGAGCCGGCCGGGGTGGCGGGCGTTGGGTGAGAGTTGAAGGGCAGCAGCACCACACCGGTCATGGTGGCGGTGGCTGGAGCCAAGCCTCACCCCCCCCGCGACCTCTTCGTGGACGTGGACCTGGTGGTCGTCTGGGGCGGCACCCGGGGGGTCGAGGGCCCTCGGGACGCCACAGCAGCGACGGGCGTGCCGAGAGAGAGCGGGCAGGGAGAGGCCCGGGGCACGCGCGTTCTGGCCACGGAAGAGAGCAGGCGTACGTTGTGTACTACGCCCACGATGATGGTGGCTACTATGAAGACTATGGCGACTACGACGACGGCTACTACTACGACGGCGGCTACCACGACGCCGGGTACGCCCACTACGCCGGCGGTGGAGACAGCTACAGCTACCCCTCAGGGTACGAAGACAGCCGTTCATCTGACGGCGGCATCCACTACGTCTACTACCCTCCCGCCGGCGAAGATTCGTCATCCGAGCCGCAACGTCAGCCCCCCCCCGCGAGCGCTTCCTCCTCGTCCTCTACTCCTTCTCCTGGCGCGCCTCCATCTTCGGGCTACCTCCACCTCTGCACGGCACAATCGGTGCCCCTAGGCAAGTCTCACCCTGACGATTTTTTCAGTAGGATAGGAGTGACGATAGGAGTAGAGTCTGCTTCTAGTGCTTCGTCTTTGCTGAGTGTGAAATCTAGTGAGGGGCCGCCTGGTAGCGAGAGATGGGTAGCTGACTCAGGAGCCAGCAACAGTTTCACCAACAGTGACTTGCACATGTACGACTTGCAGGAGATACCCTCGAATAGGCAGTATGTCATTGTAGGAGATGGTCGTCTGCTGAAGGTGAAAGCAATCGGTAGCATCAACCTCAGCTTTTTCCAGGAAGGTGAAAACGGTGTGCCAACGACGATGTATGTGAAGCTGACTGACGTGTCTGTGGTCGAGAGTCTGAGTTTCAACTTGTTTTCGACGCATGCTGTTTCCCTTCGGCAACGAATAATCCATGACGAGCGTGGTGTGACCCTGCGTAACGGACTGCTGTTTGCTAGAGAGGAGAAAGCTTCTGCCGCCTATGCAATGCGCATGCCTTACGACCCGTCTGCGATTGTGGTAGACTCTGCTGCTTTGCCTGCCTTCGTGAAGTCCCCCAATTCCACCCCCGCTGATGGTCCAACTTCCCCTTTCCCCAACGGGGGCTCCGTGGAATCGTTGGTGTCTGTTTTGCGTGTACCGCCCGCTGGCTCTGCTGCATTGTACCTCCGACTGACAGCGTCCCGCCCACTGGTCTCGCCATTGTAGTCCCTGTGCATGACAACGTCCAGCCCACTGGTTCCTCCAGTATAGTTCCTGAGCATGACAGCGTCCCGCCCGCCGGTTCTACCGACGTCGTACCTCTTTCGGCGTCCGGTTTTGAGTGTGTGGGTACTTTCCCGGGTATGGATCTTGGAGATACGAGTGTGCTCACCGACGAGCAGCTCATGGATGGCTATGATGACACCCCACATCAAGATTTTTTCCCCGTATTTATCCCAGAGAGTGACGCTGCGAATGTGGCTGGTGTTTTGGATAGCATTGACGGAGGTTCTGATTTTGACTTGGGTGCGGCCGCGCTTGGCCCTGGTGCGTCCCCGTTCACTCTTGGATCGACCGAAAAGTCCGTTGACATCAACCGCTTCCACCGCTCCCTTGCCCACGCTTGCGAGCCTCTTTTGAGAGAAAGTGCCCAGCTTCGCCCGGGGGGCCGAGGGTATGAAGGACCCGCGGCTGCCAGGCCGCACGAGATCGGGCACGAGGCACAGCACAGGGCTCATCTCGATGCTGGACAAGAACACTCTGGTATCGATGCTGGAGGCCCAGAGCGCGGTGGAGGAGGAGCGCAGGGAGCCGGGGGGAGCGGGGANAGAGTACATTGACTTTGGAGAGTTGTACGCGCCTACCGTTTCTGTTTCGTGTGTCAGGATGTTGGCAGCGTTGGCGTGCGAGTTGAACCTCGACCTGTGTCATTTCGATATTGAGCAAGCTTTTGGGCGTTCGGAGTTGGAAGAAGACGGATACATGCGATTGCCGCAGGGATGTGGAGCTCTATCTGGAATGATTGTAAAACTAGGCAAGAGTCTGTATGGCTTGAGACAGGCATCTAGGCTGTGGCATGCAATGCTGAAGAGGTGTTTGGTTGCGTTGGGATTTGAGCAGTGCATGGCCGATGCTTGTGTGTTCGATTGATTGAAGGGGGGTGTGTGGTTTTGATTTTGGTAGTACATGTAGATGATATTTTTGCTGAGGGAGAGAGGGAGATATGTGACAAGTTTGGCGCCGACCTTCACAAGTCCGTGCCGGTGAAGAACCTGGGAGAGTTGAGATGGTATTCTGGGTGCTTTTACGAGAGAAGCAAGGAGACTGGTAGGCTGACGATTTCTCAGCAGACTTTCACGGATGAGCTAGCAGCAGAGTATGGAGTAGCAGGGGGTAAGAGCGTTCCCATGTCTTCGGGGGTCAAGCTTTCTGACTTTGATGCGGATGAAGAGGCGACAGATTTTCCGCTTCGTGAGCTAGTAGGATCTTTGATGTGGCTGGCGAANACTTTGATGCGGATGAGGTGGCGACAGACTTTCTGTTTAGCGAACTAGTCGGATCTTTGATGTGGCTGGCGAATCAGACTAGGCCAGACATTGCGAATGCAGTAAGGGCAGTAGCTAGATATTGCGCGTCTCCGAAGCGGGTGCACTGGGATGCAGCGATGGGTATATTAGGGTATGCGAAGAGGACGAGTTACATGGGTATTTCATTTCAGAGAGGTACGTACGGTAGAAGGATTCAGCTTGCAGGGGTACGCTGATGCGAACTTTGCGAGCAAGGCAGCAGACCGTAGGAGGTCGGTATCAGAGGGGATAGTAACATGCGGAGGAGGCGTTGTGTCTTGGTTTTCCAGAACGCAGAAATGCGTTACGCTTTCGACAACAGAAGCAGAGTATGTCGCGCTTGGCGATGTAGTGAAGGAGATTTTGTTTTTGAGGCAGGTTTGGCGATTTATGTTGCCGAAGGTCAGCATGCCGTGCATCCCAGTCTTTGAGGACAACCAGGGGGCGATTCAACTAGCGCAGAACCCCATCTCGAACTCGAACTCGAAGCACATTGATGTAAGGCACCATTTTCTCAGGGAACTGGTAGAGAGGAAGGAGATTTCGGTGATTCACGTGCCGTCTCCGTACCAGCGTGCAGACTTTCTTACGAAAAGTTTTCCCAAGGATGCGTTCGAGTCTCACCGTGATTTTGTGATGAATTTGGTATGAGTTTTTATTATTTTTCTGATGAGTTTGGTTTGGCTTTCGATTTGATTGTTTTGCTTTTCGCGCTAAGTTTATATCACGCGCGATGCAGCAGTATTCATGTTTCTTGGACTTGGCTTTCGTTTCATATATTTTGGAAGTAATCTTGATCGCATATATTCAGGAAAAGACGTCTTTTGATTGAGATATCCGGTATTATTTCGAAATTTGCAGTGAAGATACTGTTGCGAGCAGGGGGAATGTTAGATATTATTATTATTTTGTTTGCCCTCCGACAATTGCAGATAAATGCAGACATACATAAAGAGTCGATCGTGAAGGCCGTCATGCCAAGCCAATTAACTCGATGCCCAATAGCTAGGAATGTTTGCCTCTAAGTCAACAAAACTTTTGTCGAAACACTACACAGCTGAACTCTAGGCACGAACCTTACATGGAGAAAAACGAACAAAACCCCAACCTCATCCACCCGAAATCAAACAAAACTCGGCCCCGTCTTCCCTGGTACCCCTGAAACCGTATTGAACAGAAATCCGCATTCCACCGAAGTGGTTAGATATACTCGCAGCAGTCTCTAGACGTGAGGATCCTCGGGATACGTGTTGGGAATTTCGTATGTTGATGGGTACCACCGATGCAGATACGGGGACCCTTTTGGCCTTGGTTGCGGTGTTGAAGGCTCGCGCATCTAGCGCACTGCTTTCGCTCTCTCCACCGCTACCG